GGCCTTGGTAGATCGCACCCTCTCTATGGCCTTGGTAGATCGCACCCTCTCTATGGCCTTGGTAGATCGCACCCTCTCTATGGCCTTGGTAGATCGCACCCTCTCTATGGCCTTGGTAGATCGCACCCTCTCTATGGCCTGTTCCCAGGACTCCTCATGTATTTGTGTTCCCAGTTCCCCTTCCCATGTACGCTTAAGTTTAACATTTGAGTGGTTGCTAAAAGACAGGATAATATCATACAACTTTGAGACATTTAATCTATTTTTTAATTTATATTTATTATATTTTAAAGTTGGAAGGAGGTACTTGTAGTATTATGCTGTCATCATTATATCAGTGGCATAAAATGGCCTTAAAATGACAATACTATCATTTACTGCAATTTTTTGTGGGACAATATATCGTTCAACTAAAGTAGTTATCCTGACAGGCCTAGTCACACCACCCCTCCCCCATTTTTCCTCTGTCACCCACCAAATTACGCATGAGCCAGGGATAGCTGGCCAATCAGCTTCAGTCCTTTGAGGGCCACGCCCATGGAATCACCACCTTGCCCTCCGTTTGGGGGGTCTTGAGTGATATGGTGGATGTCTCGGTTCAGCCAAGGTCACCCCGCCGACTTGCACGGGTCGGGGTCGTGTTGGGTTCTGTGTGTGCTGTGCTGCTCCGTCGAGGTCACAGATAGACTGGCTCAGTTCCCTGTTGTAATTGTCATTGTTTACTGGGTGTGAATGAATAAGAGTAGGGGAATTTTGCATGGTGAGTCTGATTGTGAAAAGGGTATTTTTGCAAACATTGAAGGGTTGATACAAAGTTCAGTCACAGTTATTTCTGTTTGCAAAGTGTTTTGTTTTTTTTGGAACCTTTTTTTGAACAATTTCTGACCTAATTCCTGATTCATCATAGTGGTGAGGGAGTTCTTGTTTTTGCAGTATCTCTCCTGCTTTGTGTTTTAAGTGCAACCGATGGAAATTTCGCCAGATGAACAGCACTGTCCACCTGCATACAATAGTACTATCAGCAGTATTAGTAGCAGTACTAATACCTTTTGCAGCAGTACTACTAGCAGTACTAGAACTTTTAGGGCCTGAAAGATGCAGGGGCAGGAGGAGAGAGGGGCACACACACCCCCCCCCCCCCCCATGAGTTTGCACACTGAGCTAATGGCTCTGTGCCTCCTCTTCCCGTTTCCTGTCTGCCTTTCATTCCTCTGAGGAATGTAGCAAGTACTTTATAAAGCTGGTGGGGGGCGCTCCAAGTCTCCAGGTTCCGGAATCGCGAGGACAAAGGCCATGCTGTCCATCGGCTGCTTACAGACCTGAGCAGAGAGTGTGGTGTGCGGTGGGGTGTGTGCGTGTGCGTGTGTGTGCGTGTGCGTGTGTGCAAGAAACAGGAAGTGGGAGGTGGGGCTTCCGCTGAGACCTTGGGGTTGTGGTCAAGTGTTGTAACAGCCACAGGCATAAATGTCTTGCTCCTGCCCCTCTCTCCTCCTGCCCCTGCATCTTTCAGGCCCTCCAGCGGTTGGCCATGCAGTATCTGAAGAAAGACAAAATAAAAGGAGACTCTGCAAGCTCTTGGTAAACAGTGCTGTTCAGAAGTCATATCAAGTATCACCATTAATGTAGTATTAGCATAAATAATTCATATTAAATAATGAGCTAAATACATGTGTATGTTCTGACATTCTTACTCCAGCGGGAGTAATTTCTCGTTGAGGGTGTAGGTTCTACCCCTCAGCCCTCCCCATTCACCACCCCTCACTCTGCCCCCGCACAGTGGTGTGTTTGCAGTGTGGCGCTCTCTGGTGGAGGCGACAGCACGTTGCGGGGCAGCTCGTATTAGCACCGCGGAGGGATACCGCTCGCTGACAGCTGAGGTGATGAAGACGCTTCGGGTTTCCCAGGATCAGCGGGCCAAGCGGGTCAGTACTGGAGGAGGCCGCTTCTGTCTGCCGGCGCCCACACCTCCTCACCTGTGCTCCAGGCCCATCTGTGGGGTCCAATGTGGCCGAATGGCCCCTCCTCCAGCCGCACCGCCTGACAGTAATCAGGGGCAGCCTGACTGCCTGCATCTATAAACAGCAGAAGGATGCTGGTCTGGGACCCAACGGGGCGTCTTAGCAGAACTGCTGCAAGTAGATTATCCATCTGAAAAGTGAAATGGTATTACATGCTGCCTAAAAGTAAAACTGCAAATACTCTGGTGTACATGTACTGTTACTTTTGCTAAATCTGGTATTACTGATAATAGTACTGCTGATAGTGCTGTTAAAAATATTTATACTGCTACTAAAAGTTCTAGTACTGCTAGTAGTACTGCTGCAAAAGGTATTAGTACTGCTATTAATACTGCTGATAGTACTATTGTTAAAAGTACTTATGCTGCTACTAGCAGTACTAGTATTGATAGTAGCACTGCTAGTAGTACAGTTGATAGTCCTGCTGTTTAAAGTACTAATACTGCTACTACAAGTACTAGTATTGATAGTAGCACTGCTAGTAGTACAGTTGATAGTCCTGCTGTTTAAAGTACTAATACTGCTACTACAAGTACTAGTACTGCTAGTAATAGTGCTGCAAAAGGTACTAGTACTGCTACTAATACTGCTGATTGTACTGTTGATTAAAGTACTTATACTGCTACTAGTACAACTCCCTGATCCGTCCTTCGGTTACTGCTCGCAACCTTGGGGTTACCATGGACAATCGTCTGTCCTTTTCCTCACATATCG